ATCATCACTGGATGTAATACTACCAGCAACGGAGATTGTCCACATCATCACTGGATGTAATACTACCAGCAACGGAGATTGACCACATCATCAATGACTGTAATACTACCAGCAACGGAGATTGTCCATATCATCACTGGATGTAATACTACTGGCAACGGAGATTGACCATAACATCACTGACTGTAATACTACCAGCAACGGAAATTGGCCACATCATCACTGAATGTAATGTAATACTGCCGGCAACGCAGATTGACTACATCATCACTAGTTTGCAATACTGCCGGCAACGGAGATTGACCACATCATCACTGGCTGTAATACTACCAGCAACGGAGATGGATCACTACTGCCAGCAAAGGTGATCATCACTGGTCCTGCCGGCAACGGAGATTGACCATAACATCACTGACTGTAATACTACCAGCAACGGAGATTGACCTCATCATCACTGACTATAATACTACCAGGAACAGAGATTGACCGCATCATCACTGGCTGTAAAACTACCAGCAACGGAGATTGACCATAACATCACTGACTGTAATATTACCAGCAACGGAGATTGACCGCATCATCACTGACTGTAATACTACCAGCAACGGAGATTGACCACATCATCACTGACTGTAATACTACCAGCAACGGAGATTGACCACATCATCACTGACTGTAACACTACCAACAACGGAGATTGACCACATCATCACTGACTGTAACACTACCAGCAACGGAGATTGACCACATCATCACTGACTATAATACTACTGGCAACGGAGATTGACCATATGATCACTGACTGTAATCAACGGAGATTGACCGCATCATTACTGAGTATAATACTACCTGCAACGGAGATTGACCATATGATGACTGACTGTAATACTACCAGCAACGGAGATTGACACCATCATCACTGACTGTAATACTACAAGGAAGAGAGATTGACCATATGATCACTGACTGTAATACTATCAGCAACGGAGATTGACCATAACATCACTGACTATAATACTACCAGCAACGGAGATTGACCATATGATCGCTGACTGTAATACTACCAGCAACGGACATTGACCACATCATCACTGGCTGTAATACTACCAGCAACGGAGATTGTCCATATGATCACTGACTGTAATACTACCAGCAACGGAGATTGACCACATCATCACTGGCTGTAATACTACCAGCAACGGAGATTGACCACATCATCACTGGCTGTAATACTACCGGTAACGCAGATTGACCATAACATCACTGGTACTGCCGACAACGGAGATGACGCGAAATTATCGTGGAACAAACAGACTATGACGGACCGCCGTTTACGGCGGTTAGCCACACACCCAAACCAGAGCATCCAATTTACTTGCCTCCACAGAAATCATGGGGTGGTGTCGAACAAACTTGGTATCAGGAAGACGGACGCGTGAAACATGCACGTGAGTGCGGAGGGCATGTACACTGAAGCTCCTTTAGCACATCATAGCCAAGGGCCACGTTGTAGAAACGTAGCGCCACGACTGTCAGAATACCTTTTGCATAAACAGTCATGTTGTGATGGTCCCTTGTCGACATGGCATCCAGGGCTAGCGAGGCAATGATCATCAACTATCTGAATCTCTTGTAGGTTTAATGCGAAACATCTGAACGCTTGTCAGGAACTGTCAACTGGTTCAATACCACATGTAAAGAGGCTGCTGTGGGACCTATATGTGCTTAGCGATAGCTGTTCCCTACACGTTTCTGTCTATTACAGAACCGTTACACGGCCACATTCACGCACCTTAAATCAAGCAAGTGAACGCTCGTTCCAATTCTTCAGCTTCCTGTCGCTCTGGTTCTTGCAAAGGCATCTGGCGTTGAGAACCAACGTAACTTACGTCAGTGTAACCATCACAGTATTGTCCGTCATTACATTTCATAATGAAAACACCCCTTACGTTCTGGTGTATCGCACCGGGAGACGAAATACCAATTACCCTTAATGTGTATGCACTTAGATGCCCACCGCATTTTCAAGGTTACACTCATTCACGGCAAAAGTAAAACCATCACGGCTTTCCGCCCATGTTGGGGACTAATGAACGATGGTGTCGTGAACATATGAACCAGAACCATGAAGGCCAGAGCAGGCACCATCCACAACAACAGGCCTGCCCAATTACATACCCTTCCGGGTCCTTTAACGCTCTCCAGTTTCTCCCAGGGGGTAAAGATTCCTCTTGGGAACACTTGTAGGGTTAACCCGAGATTAACCCCTGTCATCCTAACACACAACAAACTCTCGTGTGATCTTCCGACTGTCACCCACACACTTGCGGTAATTGATGACACGACATGTTGAGCACAAGGCTTGCTTTAATGAGGCAGGAATCCTATCTCGGGACCTTCCTGCTGCTCGAGTGCCTTCATATTATTTACTCCATAACTCGCTTACTTCAAGTTCCTTGTAACATTTAAAAAATGTGTGTGTGACGCTGGCAGCAACAGTTTGTGGAAAGAAACATGGGGATTAAGAATGTTCACTAACATCAGAACAACATCCCGAGTTAATTTATATCACGAGCGTATTTTACATAAAAAACATGTCTTTTCATGTTACTCAAGAATTATGTATCTGTTTACTCTGGTATTCTGGTGAATAGAGCACCCTCGACCGCGTCAAAGCCAAAGACGTCAAGAAACTTCTTGATACCCTGCCTGGCTCACGACTGCCATGGATTAAAACAAGCACTGACAGAATCTGTATACTGTGTTTTATATCTATATAGATGACCTAGCAATGATTTAGACCGATAGGTAGACGCACACACACGCACGTACGCACGAACGGAGGCCCACACGCCCGCATCATTACAATACATCACACTCATTCACGAAAAACTGCATATCAAAACCGACCCTTATCAACACGTGTAGATATATGTTATTTCAAATTCATGTATTGACCTGGTCTATTGCTGTCTCCGGTCCTGCTCTAGACAAACCATGTTGACTGAGTGAGTGATTTTAGATTTTACGCCGCTTTCAGCAGTATTCCAGCAATATCACGACAGGGGACACCAGAAATGGGCTTCACACATGTGAGAAATCGAACCCGGGTCTTAGGCGTGAAGGGCGAACGCTTTTACCACAGGCTACCCAACCGCCCCCAATCCATGTTGAACAAACAGACTATATAGTAGGACTCTCTGTGTGATTACAATATTTTAAGAAACAAATACTACAGCGAATTATATACGGTCACAAAATCATAAACACACCACACACACACCTTTCCCTAGCTGGTACAAATAGGGTTTAATGTTGGCTCTGTCCACCGTTACACTGTGTCACATGACAACGGTTTGATGTCAGTCAAGCATATGACCGCTCCTCGCCACGACCCACCCTGGGATGTAGCACGTGTGTTTATAACACAAGAGTGGCTAAATTAGCAAGTCTAACCATTAAGTATCCTAACTATCAGCTATGGAAAGTATAGCATATTTCGTCGATGATAAATTGAGTGATATGATGGAAGAGTTTACATGAGATGCCTACAACCCTACAGCCAACAGCAACACCCATAACCGGACCAGATGTACATCACCAGTAATATTCCACGACAATAGAGGGCGTTCCAGTCTGTATTTTAAACATCCATTTGATGGGAACCCGAAATGCCAAATTACCAAACCGTGGTTGTCGTGTTTTATATCCATCCGGAATACCCGAATACACAATATGATTCCTTTTACAAAAAAATATTTCAGCGGAAATATAATGTCGTAATAATGTTTTAATTGGCAGTTTCGGTTATCATAAGAAAAAGATGTATATACCCACAAATCACTTTGACGCACACAACATGATATACATAAAAACGTAAAATGAATGTTATTTAGTCATCTGCACCCTTGATAGACGTGAATGGGGAAAAGTGATAGTTCAATATGTGTGAAAACTCGCTTCACATTTTATGGTATTTACAGTAATAGAAAAGATCCCTTTCAGCAGGTTTTCCCTCCCGTAGACTGACAGTGACTTGTGTACCCGCACAAGAATGCTGGAGTGTTTTTTAGGAATGCAGGCATACCGTCAGCTATTGACTTTTGCCCACTGGGTCTCTCTCAAGTATTTGTAGGGCATTTTTAATACCAATCATTTTTATTTCTTCCATTTTGTCAGTGAAGTAAATCCTCGTCCCGATCAATAGAGGTTTATATATCCCACACCTCCCTACAGGTCCCCAGCGCGCTAATGCTACCTGCCCTGAGTAGGGCACGTGTTGAAATAATACTCCTCTACCTGGGGATTAAAGGGCATGGGAACAGGAGATTGAATGTTCATTTCAGTTCTAGACTCACCCTGGTTCATAATAAAGCTGATTTATCTGTACAAGTAATTAGTTCTGACAGAACAGATATGCACTGGGACCGAATGACTGGGCTAGGGTCTTCAGACAGCGAAAAGGTAAATTTAAGGCTGAAGCTTGTCTGCACTCTATGAGTGCTGTGATCTGTGCCTGTAAGGTGTATGCAAACGTAAATTTATTCAGTGCCTTGAGTGAATCCATGCACGATATAATTCTGATCGGAACATTCAGTATCGTGGGTTAGACAGGTATATGTAACTGCTGGTCAGCTGACGGATGATAGAAGCCATGAAGTGATCGCCGACCCGCTAGTTGCCGACTGACGGATCGCAACACATGCGGCCCTGGTGCCCTATTGTACTTACCTGTCCACGTCGTTTATTACAGACACAACAGCATGGAATTCAGACGAAATGGTTGAAAGTGATAAAGAAAGGGGTAGTGGATGTTAACAGCCTAGCTGTGACGTTGTGTGTTTAGACAGGGGCGACTGCCTGATATAATACCCCCGCAGATTCAGTTCACGCCATCGGGCTCTCATAAACCAGCAATTACCTCTTGTGATGCGATCTCTAAACTTCTTTGCGAAGGAGCAGACTTGTGTTGCTAGACTTCCCGCCAGTCGGATGGGTCTTGTACTAGGCACTGACAGTGCTAATATTTCTCCCCTTCTCGCTGTCCCATTTGGCTGGTCGATGCTTGCCGAGGGTGCGCGCTCCCACAGTAGATCGTGACACAGGTAATAGTAGAAATCAGGCGAGCGCTCACCCTGACTCCCTCCCAACAAGCAGACGAGAATACAAGGGGAAGCAGACCCGGATAAAGCGCGCGCGGTGATTGACGTTGATGTGTTGATTGACAGGTCTGAAAAGAGAGAGTGTGAGGGACAGACAATAATTGGGCAAAAACGCAGCTAAAGAAATAATCGAGCAGGCAAATGCGAGTGGGGAATCGCTGAAGGTATACCACTGACAAGCAGCGTGTTATTCTAACTGACGGAGGTTTGCTAACCCAGCACGTGTCACTTTCGGCAGACGATGCGAAGGCACGCGAGCAAGCGAACGTGGCAGACGATATTTATGATGACGGAGAGACATTGTTTTCACGTGTGTTCAGACACTCAGATTTCCATCATGCTGTGAAAAGAAGAAACTACTACGCACATTTCCAACATTATACGATTTTTTTCCATATTTTGTCAATATGGATATTTCCAATAGGAATAAAACCACTAAATTTTGAAGATTCCAATTTCTGACTGAAGACGCCCATTCCCGCTGTGACATTTCTTATTTATCTTTTCCAGCATTACACATCCATCCAAGGAGAGTGTCTCCCTGAGATGTCGCTGCAAGAGTTTTGTTTACGATACACGAACCTTGTCTGTGAGAAGGAATGATGTGTGACAGTATTCAATGAGGCTTAAAAACTTTGAATTCATGCAAGTGAATGGATTCTAAAGGTTATCGTATGGAAACAGCTGTCGGAGTTAAGTTCCATTTTTGTCAAAGTATGACATACCTGTCGGTGTTACGAAGCACAGTGTGGATTGTATACACGGCCGTCACTGTGATAAGCCTACTTGTTAGTGTCTGTGATGGTATGCAATGCCCAACCTGTGACAAAATCCACTGTTCCCCCCGTAAAGCTTCCAGACTGAAATGTAAAGGTGGCATCACGACAGGCATCTGCAACTGTTGCCCCGCATGCGCTAAACTGGAGGGGCAAAAGTGTGGCGGAGATTATAACTACCTCGGGAAGTGCGATAAGGGATTCTATTGTAAACCCCGTAAGAAGACCATCATAGGATTCATCAGAAAGGACCCGGTAGGGACTTGTCAAAGAGGTAAATCCCACTGGCACAAAAGTGTTTTTGTTTAACATCGGGTTTTTTACATAAATTGTAAGAGACACAGCATAATTCATTTAAAAAGTGAAATTGCTATCATCTCTACGACTGACAGCTTTCCAAAACAAAAAAGTCTCTTTTTAAAACACAATGTATATTCATTCCATATTTTCAGCATAAAATGTCACTTGGTAAATCCCAGCCGCATATCAAGCAAAGGTTGTCCCGTATGTGATCTGCTTTATATGTACGACTGCGCACGTCATGCATGGTCTTACATTCCAGTGTGGGGATCGCCGTTTCTTACATTCATTTCTCAGGAAGTGTATACTGTGTTGTCGACACTTTTATACCGACATCACTCCGTCAAATGCAGATTTATTTGGATTTTATAGGTTTTTAATTGCCATACATGCTGTGTTGAATCATAGGCATTGTAAATATGCCATTGAAATGTCTCTTGAAGCGGGACGGGATTCTGTGTTTTAGCGGGTGAACATGTACGATCATTCTAAGGTTTTGGGTTATTTAATAGCTCTCCCTCCAAGGAAAAGCCCAGCTAATGATGAACTTGTCCTCCGGTCGCGACACTGGCCTCGCTACGGCAGCTGGAAGACTCCGCACACTGTCACAGTGTTTCATTCATTAGGTAAATTTAATTAACAGGACATACAGGCGGTTTAAACCTGAAATATATAATTATAAAGAACCACAATATACTACAAAGCAAATACATTGCATATTTAATATAGAATGTACGTTTATATTGGACAGATGTTATACGATCCCAAATTATTAATTCTGCGAAGCTTCCCATATCGGTTTTAAAACGTCTGTTAAATTTAATGAGTGTGTAAACTTTGTTTTGACGCAGCTTTCATTAGAATTTCACTAATATACTGCGTTAAATGTTAATGTCGGGATGTAGGTAACCGTTTAGCCGAACATGTAGTCCCCTTAATGAAGCTATGAACACTGTGATGCAAAATATATTATAGTGGGTTTAAGGGAGAGAATTACGTATGTCAGGCACCTCATGAGAAGAACACAACAGTTCGGAGTATATCAGTGCTCCTTCATCAGAAAATTCCCTTAACGCGGTATACTCCGAAACGCCGTGTTCCTCATTATCGAGGTTGACATCAATAAATTCTGTTACTAACGTGTATCACTTCTAAATGCCATTCAGAAACTTTACTCCGAATTTCTTTTTATGTACTTGAAAATTGAAACAAAAACGGCATAAGCCTTTCCATAGCCACACGGAATCTCCACAAGAAGAACAGTTAAAATTAGTCATGTCTATTATCATCACTCATTCCTGCAGCAGTTTGTAAAATGTCATCCATTACAGGGAAATGTTGTGAAAAGAAATATTAAAGACCGTGGTGAGGAATGAATAAGCATCCACATGACCCATACCATGTTTGAAATGTTGTAATGTTTTGTGAAAAAATGAAAAATGATCGACTTTAACAGATACATGCCACCAGCAGGTATGTATATTGTGATTTATTTTTGGGAAGTTGTAAAGCTAATTAAATGTTATACATTAAAGCTATCTGTACGTTTTCTTTGAGAGCTGACTAATTTCTTGATTTTCTATATAATATCGCCAACTTAAGATATTTTCAACTGAGAATCAAACACATGATAACATCAACTGAGAGGTATTATTTCTCTTGCCCTGAGTATGTTAGAAAAATCAAAATAATTATATGAAGGAGCATTAACGAATCTTCTTCAAGTCCCTCAATTTCAGATCTGAGAAGATGACAATGGGATGATAATTAAATCTACTAGATGGTTTTATTACATATATGCTCTGGGGTATGTAAGAGGTACTATTAAGTGTAAATCTGTAAGAAGTTGCCACACGACGTACTAGTTATAGTACGTATAACGCCTCTACAAGGGTAATATAACCACCATCAGTCTAGTCGCTCACTGTACGTGTAGTGTGTTACTGACTGGGGTTATGTTGGTCTAACGGCGAAGATTTGAACACGGAACACCGGCTGATTGTTAACAAAACAATTACAACTATTTATATTTGATTCCAGCTCCAAAGCCAAACCGTTTCCTGCAACCGTTTTTTATGTAAACGAAACTCAAATGATAGGGGAAATAAGTCAATCTAAAACATATGGCCCTGCGCGTCCTTCCGAAAATAAACGTGATTTTGATATCTTCGGATGTGTTGGGTATCCACTCCTCGCCTCTCTAATACTGAATAAAACCGAGCGATTTACAGCTTGCTCGATCACAGCCATTGTGAACAGGCGGTTGCAAGTATTTATAACCAATTTGCAGAGAGGGTATCCTCATCTTGAATTGTCTTTTCATTTCTGTTCAGTTCAATTGTTCACTCTCATTTGAAAACTGTTGATTGTAACATTGTGGTATCGACCGACGAGTCGGCAGGCGTGAATGACCCTTTGAGATTACTGGTACTGCTTTAGAGTTCAGGATTTAGTTTCATCTTTCTTAGCGCACAACTGATAACCGTACCAACTATACCTATAGCCAACTATTCCACACACGTATACATTTAAGGGATACAAGTTTACTGTTATGATTAACTGTAAAAGTATAGATCGGTGTACCATTGTATTGCATAGTAGTACGGTAATTTTATATGCTATATTTGGGAAATTACGCTATTTGACCCATAATTCAAGTTGACAAAGCATATCTTAACGAAAAGTCCGTATTGTTATATTCAGTACATTGCTATCATTATAGGTCATGAATAAATGTTATTGATTCATTTCATATTGGGAGTAAGGATGAAGGATGAAGGAGTAAGGATATACTCCGAAAGGTTGTGTTCCTCATAATAAAGACGTTGATATCCATAAAGAAACTCTCTTCCTCATTTCAAAGTAGGCCTACTTTTTCAATCAATAGTTTTCTCACGTTGAAACCATAAAATATGTATACACCTTGTTTTCAAGCATGATGACTGTTGCACATTTTCTTGACGTTGATAATGTCAACATGATGACTGTTGCACATTTTCTTGACGTTGATGATGTCAGCATGTAGTACGATGATTATGGTGAGATAGTTGAGTGGTATTAACATTGCGGCTTCTAATGATAAGGTATTACCTAGGAGTACTTTTATCTTTGTTACATTAGTTGCACTTTTTGAGATTCTATCATCGTTACAAAGCAAAATAAATGAGCATTTATATTCATGTAGTGTCAGTACTGTGGTTATAATACTGAGAAGTATTATAATACTATATTGATACTAAAAGCTGTTGCACACTGGATACATCGGGTTATAATAGTGTCAATATCTTGTCTCATCTCCTGCTTCGTTGAAATATAACAGTTAAATAATTTGGCATATAATTAATTAACATTTTCACATCATCGAAATCCTACTGGTGACCAACTTTCATGTGTGTATCTCGCAGTTATACTAGTTTAGTACTGCCGACTACAACTCATGCTTGTACCAGATGAAGTCATCCTTGTATGGCCATCCTTGTTTACAGCCTCATCTGAACATATACGTCACATTACGATGTCGTTATCTATACGTCGTTGTCCCGCGATAATATATTCACTAAACATGACAAATGATCTGCGACAAATGATCTGTATAGTATACGAAATCTTACCAGAAATCTAAATAATTCCATCCCTCGGTAACCCTTACACGTATGCAATAATTTCATGTTTGATATATTAAAGAAATGATTAAGTTACCCGGTCACAGTTGATGAGCCGTAACGCGCGCAACACGCTCTCCTCTCTGCCTCGTTTACTGTTATTGGTGCCAGATGGCGATATTTATATAGCAAGGAAAGAAGTATGACATAAGTAAATAAATCATAATATCTATATATGTAAATATTATAGTAGCAAATTTGCTAAATCGTTACCAAATGTCTTAGTCTCTCCTATCTTTCTTCCTTATGATGTTCAATGTTTTCAAAACAGAATGTTCTTACGTTTCTGAGAATATTTATCAGAGCTTATTCTTGGGTTATGAGCCAATTGAGAGCTCTATAGTAGATGTTAATGGACATGTAGTGGGAATATGAGGTGTTGGGAACATACGGTCCAATAGCTATAAGGAAATACGTTGTTTTTTAGCATCTAGCATATGTTCTGTCGTCCCTTTTCCATATGTCTGATATAAAACGCATGTACAGTTTGCAGAATAATTTGGCAAGCGTATTTTACAATGCATATATAAACCCGAATGATCGTATGTTTGATATAAACCGTCCGGCCCGAATAATGTGGCACGTGCATTTTACAATGCATATATAAACCTCGAATGGTCGTGTATGTCGAGTACATGTATAACACGAATGTTCTTTATAATGGATATATGACACACGAATACTGTTGGTGATATATATGAAAGAATCTATTTGTACAATGCGTGTTCTACATGGCGATGAGGATGTCGCACCCAAGGCGGTATGTCCGATCAACTTGGCATCAGGGCGAGATGAGGTTTCAAGGAAGTTATGTACAAACTGACAGTAATAATCTATCACCTTTACCTTACCTGGCATCTATTTGATGTCAACTTCAGCAGTCCTTTGATGGCCCACATCCCAGTGAGGAAGCATCACCCCCACGAGGCAGGTACATGGCCGACCCACCCGCCCTGTCAGGACATGTCGCAGATGTATCCTCACAATATGCTACTGTCTTTCTTTCCCCGACCAAGTCCACCAGTGCATGTACCTATCACATGTCAATGACAACCGGTAATATCATTGTGTAAACAGAGCATCTGTCTGTGTACGTGCAATATGGAATAGTTCTGTACACACCGTGTAATATTATTTTATACATGGAATAGTTCTGTACACACCGTGTAATATAATTTTATGCATGACAGTTCTGTACACACCGTGTAATATAATTTTATGCATGACAGTTCTGTACACACCGTGTAATATCATTTTATGCATGACAGTTCTGTACACACCGTGTAATATTATTTTATACATGACAGTTCTG